CTGGGGGGGGGGTCTGGGGTGGCAGTCGCAGCTTGCGCGGGAGGCAAGGAATCAAGGAAGCAGGCGACGGGTCCTGTCGGATGTCTGGCCTGCCTCTCACTTTGCAAACAACGCAGACTGGGATCTGTTGCATTGGGCTCGGCGCGCGTGGTGTGGCACCACGTCTTTGGGAACCAGGCGGGTCGGGGGCCGTCTTTGACCTCTGTGACATCTTCGGGAGCCCACGAGCCGGAGGAGAAACCCCATCAGAGGGTGCGCAGTATGACGGGGACTGATCTCGAGATCTTTGTTGTTCTGCGCACTGCAAGCAGGCCTTCCCCGATGGCCGTGACTCCACAAAGATGCTAACAACGGACAGCTGCTTCGTGGAAGACTCGCACAGGGCCTGGGAGCGAAACAAACCACGAATCTGACGTCATGGCAAACATCCCCTCAAGGCCACGATGGCCACACCCGATCCGACTCCTTTTAATCCCTCCGTCTGTTTGTCTCGCGATCTCGTTCGATCTCTACGAGCATTGCGAGCGGCGTCGCCTCGACTGGGTTCACAATGGGTAACAGATCTAGAAATCTTCGATCGGCTTATTGAAAATCCTGTGCGGTGCACTATGCATTCTTGCATTAATGAGCGGCTCGGCTATTCAACGTCAACCCCGATGCAGGGAAAACCCTCCTCCGCCAATTCCCAGGGGCTCCCAAAGTCGGAAACTTTCAGGCCATCTGTTTGGGTGGTTTGCTGCCGATGTGCGCCAGGATCTGGAGAGCCATCGCGAACCTCATCGAGCGCCGGTTTCCAAGATTGCTAGATCGTGGGTTTTTTGTTCGTCAAGAGTTTTCCATGCAGAGGGAAAGTAAGCAAGGTCATCCAGATAATTACAAAAGAGTCTGCAAATTGCACACGACCTATGCAGAACCTTCAACCTCAAGCCCCGTAAACCCCGGTTAGACCAAAGGTCCTATACCCAACCATACAATTACATGATCCACCACAACCCAAACACCTTGCGAGCTTTTTAGCCACAACACAACATGCTCCTCAAGGCGGTAATTCCGGCACGTGGCGAATAGCTACACCAACAACTCGCGACAACAGGTGCCGATGGGTGTAGCCTTTAAGGTTTGACGACTGGAGTGACTTATGCTCCGAAACTGAGACTCGTGACAGACATGAAACTGTACTTCCAAAAAACATGGGCCCCCAAAGCCGGTTGCAATTAAGGCACTCTGACTTCTGCAAGTCATCGCAGCTCCGCAGCAGGTACACAGCTTCCTTTCAGGAATGTCAGCTTTCGGCCAAGTGCCGGTCTGCGCGAGTTCGCAGCTAAATTGAGAAATGCTGATGATCTGACGGATCCTCAATGTTCTGTATCTGGGTCTGACCAGGCAGGCCAAAAGGACTTCAGCACACACTTGAGTAGGGTGTTTGTGCTTTGAGGGTATTGGTTTTTGTGCTCTTGCTTGGGCAAACGAAAGTTGTCTTTGATGTTTCGCCCAATCACAGAGGTATGTGGGCATCAGATGCTATGTGCATCTAGAGTGTCTGCATTTCACAAATCAAGTTTCCTGTGCGGGCTGAAGCTATATTATATGTGAATGCACACGTGATTACTCCTCGTCCAAGCGCTGTCAGGAAGGTCTTATCAAGTTTCTAGGGTCACACATGGGAGAGCTGGGTGTGTTTGACAATTACAAACTCAGACTCCTTAACTCAGTAAGCAGCATGGCTGACTGTCTGTTGTTTTGAACTGTGCCAAGTCGCTAATGTGGGTGTCGGTTTAGTAATATAGGCTCCTTTAATGCGTCCCGGCAGGGGCTAATTCCGAATCCGAGTAAATTTTTTGGGGTACTAATTAATGCGTTTTTTTTGGCTGGGGTGATTCTTTGGTGGCGGGGCTGTGCTATTTGCTGATGGTCAATCTTAAGGCAGCCACGACCTAAACCCCCACCCAAACCCCCACCCAACCCTAAAACCCTGGCCCTGAAGCCCGAAAATCTCTTGCAGAATTGTTTCGCTTATTGGGGCGTCAGGAATGAAAATCTGTACTACTACTGTACTACTATTCTACTATACCTTGATTATTGGGGGGGGCTGCTAGGGTGAACCGCCGAATCGGGGATTGGACCCTAGCTCAAAAGAGGCCTCTCCAGTACTAAAGCTTGTATAAAAAATTCAATTTTGGGTCCAATCTGGACCGACCCCCCTTTGGCAAATTTGGGAAGGGTTTAGGGCTTAGGGTTTAGGGTTTGCTAGGGTTTAGGAGTTTAGGGTTCGTTAGGGTTTAGGGTTTGTTAGGGTTCAGGGTTCAGGGTTTAGGGTTTAAGGTTTCAGGCGCTGGGTTTATGCTTTGCTTATTGGGGGCATGTGCTCACTGGCTTTATGCTTTGCTTATTGGTATTATTTCTGTACTATTACTGTATTACTACTGTACTACTGTACTACTGTTGTACGACTACTGTACTACTAGTGTACTACTGTACTACTATTGTACTACCACTGTACTATTACTGTACTACTATTGTACTACTGTATTACTATCGTATTACTACTGTACTACTATTGTACTACTATTGTACTACGGTAATATAATCGTACTACTACTGTATTACTACTGTACTACTATTGTGCTACTATTGTACTACTGTACTATTATTGTACTACTACTGTACTACTATTGTACTACCACTGTACTACTGTTGTGTTACTATTGTACTACTGCACTATTATTGTACTACTACTGTACTACTACTGTACTACTATTGTATTACTGTACTATTATCGTACTACTACTGTACTACTACTGTACTACTATTGTGCTACTATTGTACTGCTGTACTGCTATTGTACTACCACTGTACTACTGTTGTATTACTATTGTACTACTGCACTATTATTGTACTACTACTGTATTATTTCTACTGTACTACTATTGTACTACTGTACTATTATTGTACCGCACAAAGCTTCAGACGTGGTCGATTGTGGGTGGGAGTGTGTGAGTGTAGGTTACGGAGGCAAAAGTGTTCAAAATGAAGGGTTTTTAGTCTTGGTAGTAGTCTTGGAGTGATCGGGGCTTGGTTTCCAGCATTTGGTGATCCCCAGACCCCCCCGACCCCCGACCGCGCATTCGCGCAGAACCGCAGACCCTGCACCCAAGCCAACCCCCCAAACCCCGGCACCTCCCAATTCCCTGCCACTCAGACCCCTGACCCCTGTCCGGCTCCACTTTAAATAGAACTTTTTTTTTTGGTCGGGGGGGGGGGGGGGTACCCCACTACTAAACCGACACCCACATTACGGAATTTCAGATGAAAATAGTTCAAATTGTCAACCCGGAAAAAGCCCAATCTACAGCATCAGAGTGCAGAATCCGACACCTACGCGCTGAAGATGCTCCTCTTAACGAAGGCACGACTTCTTCACGTATCCCCCCACCCGAAGTTCAAGGCCCCAGAGGTATGGAACGGACGTGTTCACCGGCAGACAGTGCCCCGATCGCTGGCATCTCCAAAATGACTTTCCTCCTCCCGTTTAGGTGCAAACGCGGCCTACATCTGCATCACCAAAGCAAATCCGAACCCACCAAATTCCGATCATCTGATCTAAAGACTCGTCTTCGGGACGTTACGCCACGGCCTGGGCCACTTCCAGGAGCTGCACCGGGCTGCCCTTCGATGCTTCCAAGGCGTTTAATGTAGGCTTCTGGGGCCGGGGCTTACTGGGGGCAGCGAAGAAGAGGGCTTTGGCAGGCTGCGGAAAGGGTCCATAAAGCTTCGGGATTCGTGTATTGAGCTCGTAAGCCTGGGTGCTCAAAACAACGACAACGGCGTAGAAAGATGAAACCTGCTAATTCGGCTCAAGACGTGGGACGCAGTGCTCTAGGATTTCGTGTTGGGGGCCTACAGGCTTGCCGTGCGGGGTCCAGCTCACCACGAACGGCATGCACACATGCCCACATCTCTAAGAGCCTTTCACTTCATAAGTGACCTGAAAAGCTCGAAGACTCAACTTGTTTGACCGCTCAGCTGTGCGCAGCATCGTGGTTGCTTAGTGATTTCCATCTGTGAACAAGAACCGGCTCTAAAAGGAGGCATGAGTCAAACGAGCCCAAAGAGGAGTTCGGCCTTCAATAACCAAACGGAGCCTGGGATGGTAGTCAAGTCTACTAGTGGCCCTCGCCCGACCCTACCCTCATGGCCCTGACTTTCGAGCTCAAGAACCGTGAATCCGTGTAGTTTCAGAGGAGCCCTGACCCGCGGAATTGAACAACACTAGGTAGATTGCAAATGCAGACAGAGGATTCAAAAAGCATGACAAGCCTTAACCCACGGCAAACTCTACACCCGTGTTGCAGGAGCTCGCCTTGTCGATGCTCATGAGGTTGACCTGCCACATCCTAATCCCTACCAGTGAGGGACTTATATTCCTTCAGTCAGCCCTCGAACCTTTTCACCCGGAACCTGCGTGCCGTGAGCACGAACGACCAAACACAAGGTCTTCAAAGGGAAATCCTGAACGTTCTGCTGCTTTCCTCTGAACCAGACCGGTGCAGCCCTTCTGCCTGGCAGATCTGCTAGGATCCCGCTTAAAAGCGCCAGTGACAGCAACAGCACCAGTACCAACCACAAAAGCCAGGAACCATCAAGCTGCAACCCGTTAGATAACGATTTCCGTAAGGTTTAGCAACAGATGTGTCAGCTTCAATAGGCACATTGCATTTGGATACAAAAGCCATAGCACACTCTCAGCTGTAATCCGTCGGAGTCTAGCTATTGCAGAACACCACAACACGGATGCTAGACTCTGGGAAACTCGCGCACTTTCACGCGGTCGGTGGATTTTCCACAGCAGTTTGCATAACCAGTCTGTGAGTAAAACATGTTGGATTGGAGCAAATCTCAGGCTGAACAATAATTGCCGAGTCTCCTGTACACTGCGAATGTCGAACGAACCTAGCCATGTTGGTGTCATCTCAAGTTGGTCCATTTCAAAGGTCAGCCTCTTGCCTGCACATCGGCCGCAAGCAGCGCGGCACGCCCGCGGTAGAAGCGGCTTCCGTACTTGCGGAAGTTCATGGCACACGCGTCGGCCACCTGAAGTGGTGTTGACGGGCATCGGGCCGGTCTCCGCTGCTGTTCGAAGGCTACGCTGCAGGCACATGGAGTTACCACAAGTTGTCCGTTCTTGTCTTACGACATATCTTGGACAACAAACTGTACTCACCTGTCACCGTCTCGACGAGGACGCAAGCCACACCAAAACGAAGTCGGTTGATGATATCCTCCGGGTTCCATAGACTTCAGGAGGACGTCATCTCAGGAAAGTGTCGCAAGCGACTGGAATTCAAGGCTGCGGGATTCTGGAAAACTTTCAAGGAGCACGGTTTTCCGTTTAGGTCTCCATCCTTTCTATCGGGAAGGGTGCGCAGACTCTTGGAGTTTCGAAGCTGGTCTTGGGGTCGGAAGGCGCCTTCTGCGCCTGGAGGATATCGCCCTTCTCCAAGAGAATACGCGCCTTGGGACCAGTTCCAACCCATTACGTTTTCTGCAATAACGAAAGCTTTACCTGCGTGGGTGCACTTGAATCCTGCCATAGAGTAGCCCAAGACAACCCTCGATCATATTTCTAGTTTAGAGTGCTGCGGTAGATGCGTCGAAACAACCACATGTATCTGGGCCGTCTTAGGTGGTCGTAACTGAGCCGGCACAGCGCTGCGAGAATCCACTGAAATTTCAACACGAAGCCATGGCCTCAAACGATAACGCAGGTTGGGGATTCAGTAGAGTTCGGCTTGGGCTCGTAGAACCGAAACGGAACACACATCAACTACGGCAGTTGTTCAATCAACACATCGGCAGCAAAGGTACTAGGAAGCCTCAAAGGCATTGTGGGCCGTATGCGTAAGTAGTCAAGCTGAGGCATCTAAGAGAGCCCCGTTGATTTGCGACACCTAGATATCTTTCTCGGGAAACGTCATCGTCGTCAAAGTAAACGTCAACCGGAGAACGGCAGCAGCAGCTGCAGCAACAGGAGAAAGCAGCGGCTGCAGCAGCGGCAGTAGTTGTAGCAGGGGAAGCAATAGCAAGTAGTAGTAGTAGTCGTCGTCGTCGTCGTAGTCGTAGTCGTAGTCGTAGTCGTAGTCGTAGTCGTAGTAGTAGTAGTAGTAGTAGTAGTAGTAGTAGTATTATTATTATTAGTAGTAGTATTAGTAGTAGTAGCGGCAGCAGGAGTAGTAGTAGTAGTAGCAGCAGCAGCAGTAGTAGCGCTAGTAATGGTCGTAGTGGTAGTAGTACGTATAGTCGTTGTCGTCGTGGCACTCGTGGTAGTAGCTGCAGTAACAGCAGCAGTAGCGGTAGCAGTAGCGGTAACTGTAACGGCAGCGGTAGCGGCAGCGGTATAGGTAGCGGTGGCGGCATAGGTACCGTAGCGGTAGCGGTAGCAGTAGCAGAAGCAGTAGCAGTAGTAGTAGCAGTAGTCTATAGTGGTAGTAACGAGTAGTACTAGTAGTAGTGGTAGAAGTAGTAGTAGTAGTAGTAGTAGTAGTAGTAGCAGTAGCAGTAGCAGTAGCAGTAGCAGTAGTAGTAGTAGTAGTAGTAGTAGTAGTAGTAGTAGTGGTAGTAGTAGTAGTAGTAGTAGCAGTAGCTGTAGTAGTCGCAGTAGTCTATAGTCGTAGCAGTAGTAGTAGTAGTAGTAGTAGCAGCAGCAGTAGTAGTAGTAGTCGGAGTAGGAGTAGGAGTAGGAGTAGGAGTAGGAGTAGGGGTAGGAGTAGGAGTAGGGGTAGGAGTAGGAGTAGGGGTAGGAGTACGAGTAGGAGGAGTAGTAGTAGTAGCAGCAGTAGCAGCAGCAGCAGCAGCAGCAGTAGCAGTAGCAGTAGCAGTAGCAGTAGCAGTAGCAGCAGCAGTAGCAGTAGCAGTAGCAGTAGCAGTAGCAGTAGCAGTAGCAGCAGCAGTAGCAGTAGCAGCAGTAGTATAGTAGCAGTAGCAGTAGCAGTAGCAGTAGCAGTAGCAGTAGCAGTAGCAGTAGCAGTAGCAGTAGTAGTAGTAGTAGTAGTAGTAGTAGTAGTAGTAGTCGTAGTTGTAGTAGTAGTAGTAGTAGGAGTAGGAGTAGGAGTAGGAGTAGGAGTAGGAGTCGGAGTAGGAGTCGGAGTAGGAGTAGCAGTAGCAGTAGCAGTAGCAGTAGGAATAGGAGTAATAGTAGTAGTAGTAGTAGTAGTAGTAGTAGTAGTAGTAGTAGTAGTAGTAGTACTAGCAGAAACGGCACTAGGAGTAGTAGCAGGAGCAGTGGAGGATTCCTGTAGGAGTGGGAGTAGTGATAGTCGTCGTCCTCGTCGTCGTCGTAGTAGTGGTAGTAGTAGCAACAGCACTGGGAGTAGTAGCAGGAGCAGCAGGGGGAGTATTCCTTTACGAGTAGTAGGTGTAGAAGTAGCACTAGTCGTCGTCGTTGTCGTCGTCGTAGTAGTAGCAGCAGCAGCAGCACGAGTAGCACCAGTAGTCGTAGTAGTTGTTGTTGTCGTCGTCATACTAGTAGCAGTCTTGGTGGTAGTAGTCGTCGTAGAAGTAGCAGGAGAAGTAGCAGCAGGACTAGCGGCGGCGAACTGGAGGACACTGGAATCTGCTCGACACAATGACCCGGAAAGGAGCTTTTGGTGAGCAAGCCTCATACACTCGAAGGAATGCTGATATGGCAAACCTCAGCCCCCGAAGGAAGCTCCGCATGAACAATGTTCGGTGGGAAGACGCTAAACACGATAAGTGCTGAGTAGGCAAATCCTGACCCGAAACTGCATTCTGATTGCGCAAACCTTCCACCCCGAAGGATGTGCCAGTCGTCCCAGGAGTCGCCGATCTGATGCTAGTCGTGTTATTTGCTTCCCTTCAGGGCCGAGGGGACTCTAGGCCGAACGCCTGCTCTCTCACTCTCTCTCTCTCCCCGTCTCTCTCGCTCTAAGCTTTATGAACAAGGATTGCACGTAAAAAAAGTGCCCAAAGTCCACAGACTCAAGCTCCGACTCCGTAAGTTATGAGCCACGAGACCCTACAGCCAGCAGACCTGCAGCTTGACCTTCATCACAAAACCCCTTATGGCCGTGAGACGAATATGTCCAACCCCCGACGGAAGGATAAATCATGCAAAACAGCTGCCAAGTCACGATTTGCTCCAAGGCCCGTCCCTCCTGGACACGATCGCCGGCGAGGCTGAACAGATTGGGGATGAACTGCAGCACCTTTGACGGCGAGAGAGCGTGACTGTTGCAGCAACGATAGATGCGGGCGCATCTGTAAGAACATGCGTAGCGCTCTCACGAATGGACTTGTGGCGAAACAACCGAGAAAATTGGCAGCGCATGGAAGCGCGTGCTTGCTGTGTTGGTGGTGGTGGTTAGGGTGCTGGTATTGATGGTCGGAGTGGCGGCACGCGGCGACGTCGGTAGTGGTGGCGGCTATGCATTAACAGCACCTGTTAGATTTACTGGCGACACAAACATGAGTGACAGCTGTCGTCATCACCGTCGTCACCCACGGACACACCCTTATCATGATCGTTATCGACACCACTTGCACCACCCACAATTTTTTGCAGCAAGTGTTGGTCTGAACCCTGAACCGCTGGCAGGACGGAACGTCTTGAAAGCTGGAGAATAATTCATCTTGGGGCATAATTCATCAGGGCGTGCGGCCTTCATGGCCTTGTCCGTCTCCAGTCGTCTGCGGTGCAGATCAACCAGCTTCATGAGAACCTTAGCATTAGTAGGCAGGGCAAAGTGTTTAAAATACACTCAAGAAGATACCTTCACATCGCTCCCAACACACAAGACCGACGCCCGATGCTCTATGCCATAAACCCTATGATCTTGGGAGCATGGACGCGACTGCCAAGCGTCAGGCCATGAGTCTGCTCTTCTGATCTCATCCATATTTGGTGCCCCAAGAAAGTTGGGAAGCAGTGTAGTTGGGGCTCATGATTCCGGAGTTCGGAAGACGTGCAAGCCTTTAGCAAATACCCAAGTTCATTGTTCTGGGAGTTTGGGGCTGGGGCATGCTGGGGCTTCAGGCTCTCGACTCGACGGGAACCTGTAAGAGCCCAATGCCCTATGCAGGCTCCCGTCTCTGCAAAACCACTTTGAGCCTTCAACCGACGAATTCCAAAGGAGGCTGAGGCTCCTGCGCATCCCTCACCCCGGCGGTTCTGGAGATCTGCGGCCAGATGCGGGTAGAGACGTAGCTTACCGCGTGCATGATTCAAGGCAAGCTTACAGAGCTGTAGAGATGGTTCGAGCTTGTTTCAGCTGAGAAAGACCGGTTAATGCCCACATGAGGGCGATGCGTTCAGCCAGAAGCTCGTGCTGGGCCTAGAGACCTGACAAGGAAAGTTCACACATCTCGGGGCAAAGAAACTCTAGACTATCAGTGATCGGGCACCAGCTGCCCTCGAACAAGTTGCATCGATCAGGCAACCCACTGTCTGAGAGGAGACGTGGGCACCTGAAAGAGCCAAAATCCGAAACCCCTAACGAAACGCAGAAACCTTCGATCTGCACCCCTAACAGTACTCCGTAGATACACATCTGGGTCCTCTGTCGATCGGACAAGGGCTATGCCCAGAAAGTGCAAGAATCCCCGCTGAAGTTGCTAACCTGATCACTACAACTTGTCCTGTGCTGAGGTTACTGAAGGAATGCTTCCAATCGCTACGTGCAGGTTGAATTCGCAGGTTAATCCGAAACCTAACGAACTTGAACTATCGTGCAGTGTTAGGTTTAGGTTTGGCATTAGGTGTAGTTTCGTCTTGATCGTACCAAAAACCTTAACCCTCCCTCCGGAGCAAGCCTGGTGAGACCAACACTAGTTCAGCTCAACGTCACAGAAGCTTGGAAGCAGCTGAAGCAACCGTTTGCTGACATTTCTTGTGAAAAACGGAACATGATCGTTCAACACACTGTTGGCACTCGATGCTTTAGAGGGGCCCTGCCTTTGAAACGACGTCCGTGCTCCACGCCTGCATTGAACGCCTCCTCGAAGTTGCCTGACCGTGTTCTGGATTTGCTTCGGAACAGGCTCCCTTTCGATGGTCATCCATGATTCCAGCGGATTCAAGCCGATTGTTCTTGGCTGTGAGTTTGAATCCTTAAGGCAAATTGCCTTCATGCCTGAAGCCTTAATAACCGACGAGATACGAAACGACTCTAAGCTCCAACGTCCGCACTGCAAGGAGAATTAGGAGATCTCTCCGACTGAATTCGGGTACCTACGGTCTTGGCGGAAGTCCGAAATCTGTCCTGCACGACGGTACGGCTTTGCCAAGGGTAGGGTATCATGCTCAAGCGCCCATCAAGCACTAAGATGATAGATGAAAGCCCAGTCTTTCAGTTGTAAAGTTGTAAATGTCCTCAGTCAACAAGCCCGGCCTAGCATGGCATGTGCCTGTATCTGCATGAGCACACAGTCAATCTCCTCGGCAGGAAAGCAATCGAGCCCAAGACTTGATGCTGAGGTTTAGTGGGTCCGGGTTAGGGGTCCAGCTTGAGCTTCAAATACAGGATAACGATCCGATTTCGGAGCGACAGACCTCAAGAGTATTTAACCCGTGCCAAAAACAGAGGCTGAAGAACACCATGCAAGAGTCGTTTTCCGTGCAAGCAAACTGCTGGTGTCAACAATTCTTACTTACGGCTACTACTCCTAAACCTACTCCTGCTCCTACTCCTGATCCTGCTCCCGCTCCGCCTCCTGCTCCTACTCCTACGCCAATGCCTACGCCTACTACTACTGCTGCTGCTACTACTACTACTACTACTACGACGACTACCACTACTACCACCACCACTACCACTACCACTACCACTACCACTACCACTACCACTACCACTACCACTACCACTACCACTACTACTTCTACTACTACTACTACTACTACTACTACTACTACTACTACTACTGCTACTGCTACTAGTACTAGTACCAGTAGTACGAGTACGAGTACTAGTACCAGTACTTGTACTGGTACTAGTACTAGCACTAGCGCTAGTGATAGTGCTGGTGCTCGTACTAGTACTACTGGTACTACTGGTAATACTGGTACAACTAATACAACGAGTACAACAACTGCTACTACTACTACTACTACTACTACTACTACTACTAGTACTACTACTACTAGTACCACTACCACTACCGTTAATACTAACACGAATGCTACAACTACTTCTGCTGCTGCTGCTACCGCTACTGCGACTGCTACTGCTGCTACTGCTGCTGCTGCTACTACTACTACTACTAGTACTAGTACTACTACTACTACTACTACTACTACTACTACTACTACTCCTGCTGCTGCTGCTATTGCTACTACCACCACTACAACTACTACCACTGCTACCACCACTACTACAGCTACTACCACTACCACAGCTACTGCGACTACTACAGCTACTAACGCTGCTACAGCTACAACTACCACAACCACCACCACGACTACTACTACTCTACTACTACTACTACTACTACAACTACTACTACTACTACTACTACTACTACTACTACAACCACTACCAATACCACTACCACTACCACTACCACTACCACTACCACTACCACCACCACTACTACTACTACTACTACTACTACTACTACTACTACTACTACTACTACTGCTACTGCTACTACTACTACTACTACCACTACTACTACTACTACTACTACTACTACTACTACTACTACTACTACTACTACTACTACTACTACTACTACTACTCCTGCTGCTGCTGCTACTACTACTACGATCACGACGACAACGACGACAAGGATAACGACCACAGCGAGCAACTCAATAGGGTGGGTCAATACACGTAAGCAGCAGCTTTTGATGGCCTCGAAAACTGTGAGGCCCCTGTGAATTCTACAATGGACGCGAATCCATGACATTTATCGCCTACAGTCTACAGGCAAATAGCTACAGAACTTGAGGATGCTCGTTCTTCAGGTTCTCATTTTGCATATCCAGGCTTCTGCGTCACGGATTTCTCTTGTCTGCACAGGCTCAGAGCGGAAGATGTTGGCAGCCTGCAACCATTTTGGAGGGTTTAGGGTTTATCTCCTATGATCGATATACCGGAATATAGAATACAAATTTTGACCTTTTCAGACCCCCTAAAGTTGCGTCAGCGGATCGAGCGGCGAAGGGCATGGAAGCCGAGGCTTAGGGTTCAGAGATCTAGTCACTACTGCAAAACAGCCCTCAAGCTTACGACAACGCAACCCTTCGCCACAAACCGTTCCGTCTTGTCCTGGCCTGCATCGCGGCGCGCATCCCCTCCGCAGGCTCCTCTGTTCAATGTTCAGGGTTCTCGTACCCCGTTGAAAATTCTGCTCGGCAGCAAAGCAAAGAAGGCATGAGCATGTTTGGGATTTGAATCGAGGGCATCGGAGGACTAGGTAAGGCTCGAAAGACTCTATGAACAAAGTACAATCTGCACTCAGCAAAGTGTTAGCTGTCAGCGTCAGCTTATTTGGATCTTCTTGGCAGCAAGAGGCTGTCCACAAATTTGCATTAAATGCTTGGGGTAGTCTAGTTGACCAGGCTGCCTTAAGGGCTAGAAACTAGCTGAAACGCTTTTCGGCCGCACGACATTGCAGAATTACAGCTGGAGGTCTTGTGCCAGCTGGCTACCTCAGCAAGCGACGTTTGTCTGAGCGCTTGTATGAAAAAGGCCGGCGAAGCCTAGCATGAACAGCGAAGAAGATCCCCGTACCCCAAACTTTGAGCCTTGCACCCCGGTACAGACTGAACTATGCCAGTGCCCACACCAGCCCATAATGAGCCGCTCCCAGATTGCACAGAACCCAGACCTGCTCGAATACTGCTCGAAGGACAGTCCACCTTCTTGTTAATCTAACGTTGCTCGAAAGCAACAGTGTCTCGAGAGTTTCTGAGCATCATTACGCGAAAATGGGACAGAAAGCGCCCCATTCTTGGCAAAATACTCCGGGATCATTGAAACGCCGATTTCGATTCAGAGCCGCGACGGCGGCCACCTGCCCAAAGGCTTGGATCTCAGGTCGAAGGCTCAGGTGGTTCGCAGGCGTTTCAGCTATACTGTTACGGCTATGCGGTTTGCACCAAATCCGGAATTTCAACCCCTCTCTAACTGTGATATCGAGTGTGAGGCAGCGAGGCAAGGAACGTAAACTTTCAACACGCCGACGAGGTTTGGCCTTCAGATTGCATGCAGACGACTTGACAAGGCCTCCTCAGGTGCCAGCGCGAAGTCTGAAATGCGAAGATTTTCCGCCTCGATGCGGAGCAGATGGATTCGACGAATGTAGGATCAAGCATGGCAGGCGTCAAGAGCTTGCAAAACGGCTCTAAGCCTCTTCGCCGTCTGTCGTGCGGCGCAGCATGATGGACAATGCTTAGTTTTCTGCTTGCTGATACCTCCCTGCGAAGACCTAAAACCGGCCCTTCGCCGAAAAAGTTGGCCGAACTAACCACGGTTCGTTTGAAACCTGTAGATCCTGCTGTAACTCCTCAACACTCAACCCCATTCTAACTACCCAACTCGACTCGATCGCTCCGGGAGTGCCTGGCGCTGAGGACGGCTGCTCTTCGGGATCACAGCGTAACCGCGATCCAGGCCTGGTGCATCAAGAGCGCTTGGTCCAGGGTTTCGGATATGCTAAAGATGAAGCTCACGGAGCTCACAGTCTCAAATGTGTTTTGATTTTCAACCCGAAGAAGATGCATGTCACCATTGCAAGCTACTAGCCATCCTATGTGCGCTCACGCGGCTGTTCGGTGAGCAGCACCATTTTGAATTTTTTTGTGACTCCTGACGATGCTGATGATACTGCTGATGGCGGTAGTAGTGATGACAGCAGGCTAGCTGCTACTGTCATCATCGTTTGGCTGATCGCCGTTGCAAGCATTGCAGTCGTAGCGATGATGAAGATTGAAAAAGCAATAGCTAACATGATGCTGACATTTGCATTTATTGTTAATGGTACCGTTGGCTTGCTGTTAGGATTTGGTAACTTATGTCATTGCTGGCGGCAAAGTCTGACTAACTGCATGTTCCGAACTTTAGGTCTGCGGGCTTAAGGTATACAGGCTATTACATAGGACATTGGGCTTGCATCAGACTGGCTGAGTATGCCGAGGAAGGGAAGGATACCCATCAACTTGAAAACATGATCGAAGGCATAGTCTCAACCCTGATCCCTCAAACCCAACAGCTGCAACCTCCAATGAAAACGAACTAAGCCCTTTTTTGCAGGGCTGTGGAAACAAGAGCAGCGATCTTTCTAATCTGGAGTTTGAGGTTGAGTGTGCCCAGGGCTGAAAGCCCTTGCACGACACTTATCTTCCGCATCTTCTGAAGAGTCGGATTGCCGGATAATCCGAAGCGAAAACCTCGCTGGAAACTCGGTCCACAAGGCTACAACCCCCAAACCCTCAGACCCTTACACTGCTATGGAAAGACTCAGGAATGTAGGTGATGCAAGAGCCCAGAAGCACAAATACAACTCCTGAAAACTAGTCAACTGCCACTTGTCAATCGCAGTTAGCTGAAGAATTGGAGATGAGAAGCCCCATCTCAAGATGATCTGCGCAGCTGTCTTGCCATACTTCTCAGCCAACTCTAAGACGAGCCTGGCTTAGTGCGAAGAGTTTTGGGCCTTGGGCCTGGGGGCCTACCACAGTCACAGCCGGGTACATGGTTGCGAATGTGGCCTTACAGTCACCCTAGTTTCTGCAACGACTCGAGTTTGGGATTCGCATTTGCCTTTCAGGGCGTGGGCGTTTACAAGCCTCAAGACCTCCGGGCCCAGACTCTCAAAGCTAAGCCTCAAGCCAACAAACCGCAAAGCAGCGAAACTTGCACAGCCAAGGGATGAGCTGTTTCAGCTCCCTGCTCTCACAGCCCAACTCCGGAACTAAGTCTCCTGAATCCGAAAACCAAGTCGAAGGCTGGAGGCTGGCACTGGTTGGTTGGCAGTCCGAAGGGTTTCGTGTTCGATGCCCTGTCCGGTGTGTACTACAGCAAGTTCAATTACAAAGCCAAAGTTGCGAGCCCTACGGGGCGAATATCTTGTGCACACGGGGTGTAGGGCAAAGGGTTTACATGGGGACGGGGGCGGGAGGGGTGAAAAAGGGGGGGGGTAAACTGGATCTGATGTTGGGCCGAAGTTGGGTCAAGGATCGGATGTTGCAAGATGGACTCGTCGGCAGAAGCCATGTCCTCGGGAATTGAATTTTCTGTGCAGGGTTTAGTCGAACCTTGCTGTTGGCTGGCATGCGGCTGAGTAAGTAAAAGCGTGTTTACAACATTGGGCCTCGGGTTTATGAGTGATTTTTGCTACAGTGGTGTTGCAAGGCCGCCACTACTCTTGAGCCTAGCAGCCCGATGATGTTTATGCCAATTGCGGGAATGTTGGAGTTGAAATTGGCTGGTCGGTTGCAAAACTAAACATCGTGTCACACCAAACCACGACAATGAAGAAACAGACTGTAGATCGCAAACATCACAGCATTCTTGAACTGACGTGCGGTCCAGGGACTAAAGAAACGTACGAGCCAGCCCCGAGTGGAGAGAAGGCAATCACTGCAAGGCCCATGGACTGGCAGAACCGCACAAGCTGCCTCAGGGCATGATCCAGTTCACACGCCGAAACGAGACTTCCTACTGCGCAGTGGCGACCCTGCGAAGTAGCACTACAGTGCACTACGACGAGACTATCATCATGAACGTGCAGCTGTGTAAAGAATCTTTGGCATGGTTGCCACGGTTGCTAACTGGCATAGTCGAAAGCTTTACTGGTGCTGAAGTTTCTCGGCTTCAACCCGAAATCTTTCTACCTGCTGGGGTTTACGCCTGCACGCACAACTCCTCCATTTCCGACATGGGGATGCTTGCAGCATGCTTTCTTCTTCTTGCTTCGCACACTTCGTTGGACAGCCACTGGGCTAAATGTGAGTTGTATGCATTCATCCCTTCGCCATCGCGGGGCAAACCCTGCACACGTGCCGGTAGATCATATAGATCGCGGGATGCCAGGTGTACACACAAGCTGAGGAGCTAAGCTCTAACCCTACCGTACCTGGATGCCAAGGGGCTCCTGGGCCAGGAACGGGTGCAGCTCAATTTGATTCACCTGTCGGGTAGGTCTTGGTGAGCATAGAGTTGGGCAATTTGCGGGTGGTTGAAGCTTCGGGTTTCGGGTCCAGGTTGCCGGATTTGTGTTTGGACCCAGAAGCATGGCTCCCAAGTTGAGGTGCGGGTTCAAGCACCTGACTCTCTCGGCACTTTCCTGGAATGGTGGTAGAGGTTCCATCACACTTTGAGAAAGACCCGCCTCCAGGAACGCATCTTTGAAGGACCACAAATCGCACGACCCCTGTGTCTATATTCTTCCAAAAACGTGCTTGGGAAAACACTGATGCTAGATCTCAACTGGATTTCAGGCTTGAGGGGTTGTGTAGGGTCGGCCCTTGCCGTGTCGGGCGGTGGGTCTAGGATCCGTCGACCCATCGTGCCTGCGGGCGAATCCGAGAGACGCTGCAAAGATGTTGTAGCAGCTGCATGGAGAAGTTTGCCACGCCTGCAAGCTTTTTGTCGGCCCTCTATCGCCATTGTCTCTACAGGCCAGTGCCCTAAACAATCATGCCAGAACCACACGCACAAATTGCTGGATTCGAAGACCATTCTTCTGTTGCAACTGATCTCATCTGTTGCTAGGGCTTTCCGTTGAATTCGCGGTTACAGGAAACTTGATACTAATATCTGTAATGATATGTGGTGATGGTAGGATCATGCTTGAAACTTATCTCGTTCGTGAATTTCCTAAAAATTCCGTTGACCCGTGATGATTTTATTCCATCCATCTCTGATGCGAGCATGTCTGTTATGATGACACATGCATGCGCTTAGTTCTAGAAGTACTATGGCTGCTAGCACTAGCACTGTTGTCGATGCTACCAGTACTGTTCTTGTGGCGTGTATCGGTGTGACTGCTGTTGCTGCTGCTCCTGTTGTTGTTGCTGCTGCTGCTGCTGCCGAAGCTGGGCCAAGATTACATGAAAGTTTAGGCTGAAGCTGTAGAAGGTTGCGGGTTCAGCAAATGCCGCAGCCAGAAGCTTCCACAGCTTGAATGCGGAGGGTATGTCTCGACGAAGTTTTGCTCAGCTTTTGATTATTCGTTAGGATGTTCAGTGGTGCCAGAGCAGAACAGCATAAGAACAGAAAAGAGCAGATGCCGCTCAAAACTGCTGCGTCGCACAATCACCAACGACAGACACCATGGCCGAATATGAGATCCAAGCTCAGCACAACCTCCACACCGGAACACACGCTTAGCCAACTCTTGCACCCAAACCCGAAGCAAAGTCCAGTCTCAATCAACAAGAACCTCATCCCCCCACCCGTCAGGTGCCTATACATCGAACAAGGCCGGCCTCACAGTCAAGATGATGTGTCAAGCTCAGGTTTCGGGGGTGCGGGGAGTAGGGGCATGGGGCTTTGAGCTTCAAGGCTTCGGGCCGAGCTTGCGGATTGGGGACCAGCCGCTTCTCTCAGGCGTGGGCAAGCAGCGATTTGAAGGTCCGCAGTCGCAGATTGGACGATGTGCTCAACCCCAATCCGCTCCTCCCATCATGCCTCAACCAGCGACTCCATAGCTCTCCAAGTTTGGACGATGTCCACGTCCTCCTCTGCAGGTGTCGCTAGCTCCAGAAGCAGCCACAGGTAGAAACACCCTCGCTCCCTACCCTGAGGGTGTTTTGGGGCGTCGCGTTTCGCCACTAACTTTTGGGTCCCGAGTTAGGGCAGAGGGGTTCGATACAGGGACGAGGGATCAAAATCCGTGAGCCCCGTTGAGGCCGCCCCGTAAAGCCGAAAACCCGCATCAACGCAATCTACCCCAAATCTTCTAATCGGGCCGCAAACCGCTTCAGACGCGTTGCTGGGAGATAGAGTTGTCGGCTGAGGGTATATGCAGATCACTTGAACAACTATAAACTTGCGGCAGGTTTTGGAGGCATTGCGGTAAGGTGGAGAAGTCGGCCCTCGGCCTGTGCCGGAGGGGACTTCAGGGCTTCGCGGGTCTGGGTGTTCAGAAGTTCAGGTCTGGGGGCTTTGAATACCAGCTGCATGGTCATGGCCCCAAAGACTTAACGTCGCCATGCTTTTGAGGCAAAACTTGTTGTTTACGGCTCCGAGCCTGGGTGGGCTTGGAAGGTCTTCGACGTGATAAAAGCCGCTGCACGGGGTTTCCAAGCCGTCAGAGAAGTCATGTGCGTGCAAACGAATGTTCTTAGCAGTCGGGCTTAGTGTCCTCGAGCTGCATCTGAGGTTTCTCGGAGAGCGGATCGTAAATCCACCTCAGTGCTCTCAGCAAAGCTAACAGGTCCCTCAAGCCCTACATCCCCAACACAAAACCCTTTAACCTATAAAGCTAGCTCGACGACTTATGCGTGCATTAAAGAGGTTCCTATCAATGAAGCGCCGGACGTCAAACCCGGCAAGGCAAAAGCTCGTCGAAGAGCACCGACGCATCATTCAAAGCAATCCGACTGCCAACTTCTCACAGTGCATCCGAAAGACTTTAATGAAGGTGAAGGTACTGCTGATCATGGTTGTCGTCGCCGTGCATCCACCATAGTACTTACCGTGAAAAAGAAAGACGAAGCAGTAGCAGTAGATACAGTCATCAGAGCATCGGAGGCCTGCAGTCCGACACTCTATAACTTTACACTCGTCGGTGCTATTAAAAATGTGGAAGTACAAAAAGTCACAGCATCAGGCTCAGGAATCAATGCTTAAGGCATAGAGCTGTGGGCATTGATTGGAACGCTTTACTGGCTTTACTTACTTTATTAAGCTTCAGATTTTGATTCTTTTGAGACTGGTTGCATGTCTTCCGGACAATCGAGCATATGAAATTTATGGCTTTAAGTAAGGACTGCCAGACTCAGTCGGCCCTGAAACCTGAAACTCATTGGACCTATCAGCAGTTCAGCCAAGCCGGCTCAGGCGGATAGCGCACCTCAAATGGGACGAACTTCAAGGAAATCGGAAAGTGAATCAAGTAGAGGTCCAGATACCTCACGCAGGCAGCTCGTGGCTTTCCTTTCGGCTCAGGGAAGGAAGCAAGCATCCATTTGCCCGAGAATCCCGCGGCGTGGGTGAATTGGCGGCTCAAGTGGGACAGGACCGAAACCGAATTTCCTGAACGAATCTCCACTTGCAAGACAGCCAGCTCGAGGCCCAAATCTTGAAGCGTCCGCTCGCAGGCAGCCCGGACATGCTCCGGACGATGATACCTGAGCTTGAGGCTGGGCAGGGGTTCGCATCCCAGGGCCCGGGTCAAGGAGGCTTGGGGAGTTGGAAGATGTTGGACGCTTGGGACAAGTTTTTGAGTCAAAAGAACGCCCACCGGAACCCACCTCATCGTCGTTCCTTCGCTTCCCTCACCCTCGGACAAACATACCTGTCCTATCTCCAAGCCTGCTTTGATCTCATTAGCCAAACCGTTGACCCCGCGACTCTGAAATCAGGGAAGGGGCGGTCCTCGTCGCCAGTCAGGGGATGCCTACCTCAAACCCCCTCCTCGGGTTCACGTCCCGCAAGTGCCACATCAAAGGCTTTACAACAATCAAGCTGGTCGTACATTCAGTCTCAATGCGAAAACGCCAAGCTTACCCTGAAGAAGCCAAGCCTCATTCTTTTCAACCAGGGCGCGTGTTCCAAAGCTTCGACGTGATCCAGAGTTCTTGCCTAGCTGTAGCAAGTTCGGGTGGGCTTTCGAGCAAGGTCGGGTGGGGCGTTCCACCGGTTTGAATCCTGGCTATTGTGGACCCAAGCGACCCCGAAAGCATCAACGACAATGAAAGCCTGTGTGTAGGCTCAGGGGCTTTGATGGATGCAGAAAGAATAAGGAGACCATGCAAGATTTCGGGCAAAAGAGTCGGGCTTATGGTTTCGGATAAATAATGCAGTCAATGCAATAGCTCAGTTTTCAGCCATGCAAGGACCATGAAGTGCTGGTGTATTTAGGCTTGTACGGGAATATATATGTACGTGAGTGTATGTATACATGCTTACACACACATGTGTGGACAAGTGCGCATGTGTGCTTGCTCTCTTTGCGCTGCGACTCGCCCCCTTCATGGCACCATTGTGTCTCAGGTATCGAGAAACCCCAAACGTCACTCGCACTCGCAAACTGACATTTTCGCAAAGATGGGCCGGGCCCTGCCTCGTGCAAAGGCCTGCTCGCAGGGACTGGGAAAGGCCTCGGCCGACCTCCACCTGGGCTCAAGCAGAGAGCCTATGGCGTCGAGTCAGTAAAGTTGTGTTGCATCTACCTTTCGAGTTGTGGGGTCGAGTCTAGCGGCCTGGCTTTGGCGTTCGGAATCCGCCTCGAGGCTTGCAGAGCTCAAGAGATTCAGTTAGGGTCTTTGGGTGTCGTACGAGCCAGGAACTGGAGCTGTCAAAAGCGCTTCAGGATGTCGGTCTGCGGCTTCGGTTCATGGAGACAGGCAACCCAGGAGCGAACCCAATCGGTGAACGTTGGAGCAACCCAAGAGTTCCAAAAATTCGATATTGTCGCCTGCCTTTTGTGCTGGACGGTCTTCTATTCATGGTGCCCTGCAAAACTCAAGGCACCAGTCGCTCGTGAAGAATCATTATGATTCGCCTTGCTTTCCGTATGCACTTGTAAGTGCACTTGGGGTGATTCCCACACCCTTCAACTGGCTGTCGAGGGCGGGGCACGCCAAAAGATTTCTATCTATCGCCACAAAAACCTGGGAGCACCTTCTCAATCCTTCAGGTTCGATCAACAACTTATAGAGGTCGTGTAGCCCACAACACAATGTAATCAGAGTCGCAGCTACAAGTAGGACCGAAGCTTCACAGCCAAGGCCGCCACCTCATTTCCGTAGTCACAGGCACAGTCAATGTGGCGGTAACCCATTCCTCAGCAGCCAGCGGCAACGGTGTCTTTTGGGTTCAAGGTTTACGGCCTTTGTGTTGTGCAGGAGAAGCTCTTTCCACACTTGCAGCGAGAGAGAGAGAGAGAGAGAGAGAGAGAGAGAGAGAGAGAGAGAGAGTGGGAGCGAGAAGAGAAAAGCAACATACACAGCAAAATACATTGATGTCCAGCATTACAAATATTTATCTGGAAAGAGTGGAGTTAAGGGGTTCTGGTAAAGATTCACACGCAGTTCCTGAAAATTCGGGCGCTTCCCTGTCGCGTAAAACCAGGTCCCGACTTGGAGTACAGGTACATGCGAGAAGAAACCAAGCTTCTGTACCATTCCGGTAGTGTTGCTACTAAAACTCACTGCCAAGGCTCTGATCGCGTCCTCCACAAGCTGTGCTGCGCTCTGCTTCTCGACCTTCCTGTGGTTTTCTTGGCGGCTTCTTTTGCAAGCCTTGATCTGTGCCTCTTGAAGAGATACTGTAACTGCACAACATCTACGGGCATCTGGACTCTTGGGTTGCTTCGAACACGCTGCTCTCATCGGCCTGCAGGCTTTGTTTCAGGAAAATCCTGGTTGGGGAGGAATGCAGAGCGCCGCCGCTCGATTTGCTCATCTACACCCAGCATGCCGGCTTGCGATTCAGTGCAGGAGTCTGGGAGCTCGCGGTCCCGGCTTCCTAGACATCCTCAAAACTAGCTGATAAACAAAGCTTCGTGGATTTCTAGCTGGGCTTCGGTTGAACCCTGCTAAACTCCCATTCCGATGCTGCTAGAAGAGCCGCTCGCAACTCCTGGCACATCCACAGACGAAAACCGCACGACTGGAGTGAGACATTATAAGACAAGTGCGAACACCAAAATCCAAAGCTTTGGTGTGCCATATCGAAAGAGTATCAGAAAAACCCGGCCCGACACCCCTAGACGGCAAAGGCTCCAAGTTCCGAATCCGATGGCCGGCATCATGTGCTCCCCGACCTCGCTGAGACCACAGCCACAGCCCAAGGAATTCGAGCACTTTTCAAGCTGTTGGCATGTTCAGATACTGGTAGCACGTGATGAGCCTCTGTACTCCGGCCTCGCTCCCAAGCGCCCAAGAAGCAACAGCACAGGAGAAATTCTGGTTATTGGAGGCTCCGAAAGCACTCGAAAGAGCGGCATTTCTAGACACAGGGAAAAGTTCCACCTCAATACAAACGAAGTCACTGGAAGGACGCATTGCTCGGATGATGTGCCCGCGGTGGCCTGCGATGCGATAACACCTGAGGAGGTTCGTGGTTTCCAGATTTATCGTTCGCAGCTTCACGTTTGGCTTGGGGCATGGAGCAGCAACAGCACCAGCGACGTTCAGAACCCGAGATCCAAGACCTCTCGCAGCTTCGGCTCTTGTGGCTCATAACTCTCAGGGCCAACTAGAAGCAAATTCTGTCTCCTGACACCCAGGACGCTAAACCCCAAAACCTGTGTTCCAGACCCCATTCTGACAAAGCGGCGAAGACGATGCTCCGCGTTCATGGCCACATGGGTCGCAAAGCCGTGCAGATAGAATTTAAGCTGAAGATTTTTTCTAGGATTGCAAACTCAGGTATTGCGGCTGGGATTTGAGTCCACAGCTTTGAGTAGTTGAGCATGGTTCGATGTCCCGTCATTGAAGGTGACGGTCAGGGTCCAAATGGCCCGGCGTTTAGAGTTTGGTGTTCAAGGCCTTCTAACAGCGCTACGACGGTGTAGGACCATGGTCGTCTCAGGTCTATTGCCTTCAGGATCTTTGAAATGCCGCCGTCAATGGCTAAGGCCATGGTGTTAAAGGTATTGTAGCACGCAAAGTCGAAACATGCCGACTCGGGTACATGCGCCCTACCGACTGCAAAAATTTAGAGCCTTGTGTGGCAGAGGCCATGGCTGCCTTGTCGTTGCAACGTGGCACGTCAACTGCAGAGGCTCGAAATCCAGCTCTCAACACCAAACCGTGTGCCGAAGATGAGATAACCTGCACCAGCATTAGGCCTAAAAGGCAGATTCCTGCTACAACGTGCTCACTCCTCTTTCTTGAGGTAAAGCTGCGCGACCCGCTGCAATGCGCGAGCCTGGGGAGCAACATGAAAACTCTGTTCTTACCACCAAAAGATGTACCAGTACCACACGTGTCTTTGCCTGAGTCTTTCCTATTTCACATATATGACGTATATCTTCGAAAGTAGTACAGAGGCAGCTGTGGCTAAACAGTAAGGACTGGAAGTGTAAAGCAGCAGCAGGAATAGGAGGATACCTACGGCAACATCAAACGACGAATGTGATGATCATGATGCGACCGTGAAGGTGAGTGCATACTACAACCGAGGACGGCGAGATGACAACACGGAGTGGAACGACCCATGCAGCAGCAGAGCGAAAACCATGGCTCTTCTTGGGCAGGCGGGCAGAGAACTGTGAATCAGTCCCTTCTTTCCGCAACCATCGATATATAGAAGGAGAAGGGTGCACCTCGAGAGCAACCGTATTGTGACTTGGCCCAGACAATACTGTACATACAGCTCCTCACAAGCCCACGCTTGTATGCTTCGCCCTGCAAGCGGCGTTGTCTCACCAGCAACACCACATTATGCTTCCATGGAAACAAAGGCATGTGGGTGCCCTTGTTCTCAACATGCTGGAGACGGAGATCTAGGGTTAGGGCCTGACGAACTTGCGGAACGCTGCATGCAAGTTCTCGCATGCGAAACTCCGGAATCTTGTCCTCAGCCCTGCATCCCGGGGTCTCCCCATCCCAAACACGAGAAATCCCAGCCTGCGTCTTCCGCTGCGCCCCTTTCGCTGCCTCGTACAGACGAGTGAGCGGCCACAAACCCGAGATCTTGTGACCCTTTCAGCCTCGTCTGCCGTAATTGTTTTATGCCTCGTCTCCTGCGATGTACAAGCCTTTCATAAGACTACAAAAGAGACTTTCGTTGTCGTCGTGTAAGGGCTGAGTCTGCGGGTTCGAACCCGACAGCAAGCGATCTCTGAGCTAAGTGTAGTTCGGGTGATCTTCAAGGCGTGTAGGTTTCAGAATTTGGGTGTTCCGCGCATATTCACGCACCACAATTGGGCTTGCGTTTGCCGTCTTGGCCAGCAGCTGGCCATGAATGGAGTGCTTCTCGGCACGTGTTCTGCCATGACGAGAGGGCTAGCGGAAGGTCTACGTACCATCTAGGTGCAGTGGAAAGAAGGTAGGTAGGGAGGGGCTGATCCTTCTCGCACCGAACGCAAACGTCCAGGTCTTTCGGCTTACGGGAATACACGCTCAAAACATGCATGAGCTTGGAGTATAGCAGGATGTTAAGGAGATCGCTCTACGTTGGTGTTCACTGTCCTCAGCATGGGGTTTGGATAACCGTGCTCAGAAACTGAAGAATCTGATCCCCACAGCTTGACCCCCAAAGACTTGAAACCTTGCGTTCTTTAGACATGCATACGACGACCCACAGTGACTGCACTTAGTATACTTTCAAGCATAGTTACGGACTTACTTCCCAGCTTTAGACCCTGCACCCTCAACGCTATACCGCAAGCTATCCAACCAGCCCAAACACTTACTGCCTTCGCAGCAGCCTGCGCGAAATGCTGTGCCTGGCGCAGGGTTACGGGCGCAGGACCCTTCAAGCTTAGATTGTTGAAGGAACCAGCGAAAGCTGGAGCGAGAACCTGCATTTCTCCGACCCCCTGACTCTGAAATATGTGGCCCACTGATGTAGGACCCCCTCTGGAGTTTGCTGCTCGGCCCAGTTGTTCACGCTTCAACCGGGTGCGGGCGGAATCACTTTAACGTCGCGCCATGTTCTGGAGAATACACGACCGATGAAACCCTGCACGGAACTTGAGATGCATTCTTGGAATGCTTGCATTCATTTTGCAGGCAAAAGCTCACATTAAGAACCAAGATCAAACTTCAAGCTGAAAGAAGGGTTTGATTACGACGATACTTACGTATGTGACCCACTGTCAAAAAGCTCGTACAGAAACGGAAACGCTTCAGGGCAATGTGTTCGCAGCTCTTCAAATCATGGGGCCTTCATCAAGCAAGCTCCGTCAATGCCTATAGGTAGAGGTATACTGATGGATTATCAAGCCAGGCAAACTCCTTCACGGCACCTGGACCAAGGAAACCGGCCCACCCGAATGCCGATTCAATAGCCAAAAACATTCGAAAGCGAAACGTAGCAAACGAATTTGGGTAGTTCTAGACATGCGTCCACTCTTGGGCTTCAGACTTTGTTCATCCACCTGGCCTGGTCGACTTCTCCACACATGCAATCGGCAGCCAGCAGCAAACATTCGACCTCTTCCTGACGCAATGATGGATCACACATCACTTGCATGGGCAGAACGTCTCGAGTTTGGACTCTTTGGGAGTTCAATCACTGGCGGGAAGAAACCAGCCAACCGAAAGCATGGCGAACAAAAGCTGAGAGCCCAGACTCGTGGTTTAATGAGCTCTCGGTTTGCACAATGTTGACGTGCACGCGCATCGACGGTTTACGGTGGTTCAAACAATCAGCCGCTCTGCGCAATATGGTGGATTCTGCCCTTTGCCGCTGCACCAGACTTCGCTGTTGACTGCAAGAAGCACACAGATTGGTGTAGCAGAATGTCCGCACCCACAGTGGCACTGGCATGGTCATTTCCCAGGCCATAAAACTTATGAAGCCAAGTACCTATTTGCCTGTTTTCCGCGCTTATACACCGAGGTCTCAAGGTGTAGGCAGGCTGGACAGCCGAAACGCCGCCCCGCACCCGACCTCCTTGCAGTCCGTCTGCTTTGAGAACGACTCGGCCATGTTCTGTGCCGAACTGGCGAGGGCGACGATTCAGGACTGAGGCTGTACCGCTCTAAGCTTCGACCTAGTAGCGGTTTTTCAGATAACGTCGTCCAGCAGTGCCGGATTAGTGTTGCAGATCGGGCAAGCCCCAGCTGTTGCTTTGCAGGGTCGAGAACTACGCCCTGTTGTGCAGGTTCTCAGTAGCAGCAGTAGCATTAGTATCCGTGGCCACAGCCGTAGCAGCAGAAGCAGCAGCAGCATTAGCAGCGGCAGTGGCAGTAGCAGTGGCAGTGGTAGTAGTAGTCGTCGTAGTCGTACTAGTAGTACTAGTACTAGTACTAGTACTAGTACTAGTACTAGTACTAGTACTAGTACTAGTACTAGTACTAGTAGTAGTAGTAGTAGTAGTAGTAGTAGTAGTAGTAGTAGTAGTAGTAGTAGTAGTAGTAGTAGTAGTAGTAGTAGTAGTGGTCGTAGCAGTGGTTGTCGTGGTCGACGTTGCCGTCGTGATGTAGCTGTGAAGACAGTGGGACAGCAACGAGACCCAATTAGCAACAGCACCGTACATGACAAGCATGAGATCCGACCTCAGCACTTCGTCGTACTCTCCTTTGGTGCTTGCCACCCAGGCTTTCAGAGCCTCGCAGCTACACATGCCCCAAATCCAAATGGTGTTCAAGCTCAAGGATCCTGTTGGAACGCCGGGGCTCGGAGCCCAGAGCCAGAGAGGGCTTCAAGCCACGCGCTGCTGGGATAGATGTTCCGGGTTGTGCACGGTTGGAAAGACTTGGTTTCAGAGCTTCGGGCGCGCATTACTCAAGGCCCTGGCTT